TTAGTCTCTACCTTATCACTCTCCGTCTCCGCCACCACCACCGACGGAATCGGCTGTGTTGTGGCGGGGATTTCGATCTCGGTGTGGTTAGCAGGGATTATGGCTGAGATATTGAAGGTTTTGTTACTGTTGGGTGAGATGGAGACTTCCGGGATCGAGGAGGTTCCGGAGGTGGAGGTGGAGCTGGAGAAGAAGACGAGCTGGTGGTAACCATCGTCGGACCAGTGTTTACCTAAGAAGAAGAAAGCGACGGTGGCGAGAACTAAGGCGGAGATCTTGATCGTGGTGGGGTTTTTGAGGAGATCGCCATTGTTGAAAGGCTTCATTAGCTTGCGTATGAAGGATCAAAGATCTTTGGATCTGTACACACTGTTTCTGTCGTTAACTGTGTGTGTGTGAATAAAAGTTAGTTCCTCGAGTTATATAGCAAAAACGCCATTAATCTTTGCTTTTAGGACTTTCTAGCCTTCGGAATACAATACAAAACAATTACTACCAGAATCCAGATTCATTTACATTTTACAAATTTCAAATGTTTTTAATAAAATAAAAATTGGGGTCTTTAAAAGAATCTTTGATTTCAAGTTTTAACTTGAATTTTCAGAACAAAAGTCATTAACATCTTTCACTGATATTCGTAAAAAAAGAAAAAAGAAAATAGATTACATTTTATATCAAAATGATGATTGAGGATTTTCTAATTCATTAAATTCAGATATTTGTAAAATAAAAACTATACTATAATGATGATAAATTGGATTTTTTTGTTAACCGAAAATATTTTAATTGTTTTTTACTAAAATGTAAACCGATAGTTTTATTAATTTTGGTGATATATAACATTAAAAAAAAAATTACTTCGACTTTTTTTTTGTCGGTTAATTAGTGTTTTTATGTTATTTATACACTATATATAAATTATGTTGGAATTATTTTCAAATTTAAATTAACTTTCTAAATCTACCACAATCCAAAAAATCTTTCAAAATCTACCACAAATGACATTATTCACAGAATGAAAAAGACACTTATATCCTTAGTCACCAAAATGGCACATGGAGTACATTTTCGTCCACAACGTTTTCATTTTTGTCCTCGACTACCGTCTCCGTCATCATTTTTGTCTTCGACCACCGTTTTCGTCGCCGTTCTTGTCTCCGATCATCGTCTCTATCGTCGTTATTGTACATGATCGCTGTCGCCGCCGTCGTTTTTGTCTCCCACAACCGTGTCGACATTTTTGTCTCCGACCATTGTCTTTATCATGTCCACCACCGTCTCTTTCGTTGTTTTTATCCATGATCATTGTCTCCGTCATCGTCTTTTGTCCACGACCACTGTTCCATCGCCGTCTTTGTCTACGGCCATCGTTTCCATGGCCGTTTTTGTCTTCGATCACTCTTTCTGTCGTCGTTTTTGTCCCCAGCCACTATACAACACCTTATTTTTTTTTATTTCATTG